GAGAGAGAGAGAGAGAGTCTTGGCAAAGGCGATCAGAGTGGAGCCGGAGTGGAGCCGGAGTGCACGGGAAATTGCGGTAGCATACGTCATTTAAAGACGGCGATTACAATCAGCGAGCGAATAGCATCTCGAATCAGCCCTCTTGGACGATCAAGTCCCTTGGTGAGTGACAATATTATTACTGACCGGAGTGTGCATCGAATGATTATGAGGACGTTCTTTTCGCGACTATTCCTTTCCGTATCGCTCGCCATCGTTCCGCGCTGCGACAACGCGAGAATGACATAATTGTGTGTGTGTGTTGTTTTTTTTTTCTTGCATTAATTCGTTTGTTCGTTCGTTCGTTCGTTCGTTCGTTCGTTCGTTCGTTCGTTCGTTCGTTGGTAATCTCGTGCTCGATCTCGTCGCGAACGATACGAGTATAAACGCGAGGACTTGGACGCGACCCGCGAAGAAACGAAAAGACAGGACCCGTACAACGGATAGACGGCCGCGCGCACACATATTTGCAAATTTGGACCAAGAGACGTCTTTGAATAACGGCGACAAATACCGACGAAAAGTGATCTTCGGGCCGGTGCGCGATCTCTCGTGCCGGAACGTGTATGCCTATCGCTGTCTCTATTTCACTCGATCCGTCTATCTCGCTCACACTCCGACTACCACCCCAACCACGCTATTCCTCGTGGTACAGCAATAATATCGTTTCCCGCGCGCAGTGCGGATTGGCTGGTGCAGTCACAACTGAGGAGCGGAGAGGAGCGCCGGGGAGTACCAACACGCTTCGTTTTACTCGCGCTAGCGCCGTCAACGGGAAAGGAGCAGAGGAGTGCGGAGAAGCGGCAAGGTGTAGAGGAGAGCTAGCAGCGGTGCCTTGCTTCAACGGAGGGCAGCAGTGTGTGTGCGAGAGCAGAGAAGAGGGGGAAGAAACGACAGAGAGAGAGAGAGAGAGAGAGAGAGAACGAGAGCGAGAGAAGAGGTGGTGGTTGTAGCAGCCCGACCGACCGACCGAGTTGTTTCATTCATAAAAAAGTTCTTTATTACTCTCTGTGAGCGCATGTGCTATTCCACCACGGAGGAGGAACGAGTACTACTACACCTCCCCCGACTGGCTGCGACGGCGTAACCACGTTTACACACGGCATTATTTACTACTGTGCGAGATACGAATCAACGCCACACGCCGCACCGGCAGCGCGGCGTACAGATCGTTGTGTTTCCATCCGCGCTCGTGTCAGTCGTCGTTCTGTTCTTCATCGGGAAAGGTGTTTGGTGCGTATCTATCTACCTCAAACCAGGAACGTGCGATTTTGAAAATTCTCGTCAGAATCAAGTAGCCGAGAGAACAAGAAAAGATAGAAGAGACACAACGATAACAAGAAGCTCGAGTGTTGTTTTAATATCATCATTGTGAAAATTTGTATCAACCTGGATCAACTCCAAGAGACCGCCGTGGACCTCTCCCGTGAATCCGGGAGAGCTACCGGCCGAAATCGTCGACGAAGACGAGATAGACATCCGACCTTAAATAATTATACGGACATATTTGAGAATCTCGACATCGCGGGTCCCAGCACGAGTCAAGGGTCAAGACAGAGCATGCCGCGCAACGACTCGTCGCGACAAGCGGGTAAGAGACCAATGAGAGCTCTAACTCCAATAGAAAAGTTCAACGCGATCGAGCGTGTACATGGTGGCGAATCGAAAGCCGCTGTAGCTCGTGACATTGGCGTACCGGAATCTACATTACGCGGGTGGTGTAAATCGGAGCACAAGATCCGCATGCAAATGGAAAACATGAAGAATTCAGGAACCTACGATCCTGCTCTCACTACATCCAGCTCGGATAACAGTGATAACAGTAGGCCAGGTTCCTCGTCAAGATCGACACCGACCACCCAGCAATCTGCTACGTTCGCGACTCCGATAGGGACAACTCCCATAACTAGAGACAGAACACTTGAAGACATGGAAATCGGACAAGCCGCGAAACGTATTAAATTGGAAAGTCTGCCCACCGTCAGCCCCATGATGAACAATATCTCCATGTCGCCTATCGCGTCTCAGTCGGTTGGATTGAACGCTGACACGATGGTCCAAACATATCTTCAACTACTCGCGACCAATCCCGATTTAATGGATTTATTCATCAAGGGACAATATTCGAATTCAATCCATCCTTCTACCGTTACTTCTAGTGGATATCCACCATCGATTCTTAGAGATCTCCATAGAAATGGTATTCTTACCAACATAACGATGCCTAACATGATGCCGACGAGCAGTGTGATTAATGGAAAAAGAAAATATAGTGCTCCGGTAGTTTCATCTATGTCAACTGTCCTGCCAAAGGTCTCTTCCAAGAGGCAGAGTAGTCAGTCTCCCATCGCGGAGAAACCATACGGAAATTCTTCCCAGTCAACAAACAACCAAACATCTATACCTTCAACGTCCGCTGACAATGGCCACCACACGGGGGGTGCAACTGTCTTGCCGAAATCACCTAAAGACTGTAAAAAACTGGACGCCATAATATGTCAACTGCAACAGGGCTCTGGATCAAATGCGCGACTGTGTAATAGCCCAGGAGACGAAGCCGTATCCAATAATAGTAATATGAACATAACAAATAGTAACGTGAACAACAATAATAACGTTGATCACGTCAACAACGAAACCCGAAATTCGTCACCGAATTCATTGCCACCTGGCTTTTCCGAGATACTCTCCTGCTGTACTAAACTCTTAGAATGGTTGGACAAATACGGATCGGCGATATGTACCTTCCAACAAGTGACTCAAGTAAGAACGATTCTTGATAATCTTACAAATTGGGCAAATTCTAAGGAAAGTGAGCCTAAAAATAAAAGTAATAATGCAAGCTAGCTGAAAGAACGTAGGAAACGGCGCGTCAATGTATAACGGCGCGCCGTGAATGTATAATGGCGTGTATATATGTATATATATACAGGGTGCTTTCCATTTAATGACACAAGTATCGACAAGTATCGCTCTATCTTTGTTGGTTTTCAATAATTAAC